TTCGGTTCCATCGGCCAGGAGATACGTCGAAAAGGTCCACACAGCCGCTCGAATGCTGACAGGTCTCCACAGAATGATGGTGGTGGTGGTGGCGGTGGGTTTGGTGCTACAGATTTTTTTTTCCGGCTGTCGGGGTCAGGCCGCTAGCTCCTTCGCAATCACCGGTGACGGCCTCAAGAACATCTCCATGGCCTGCAGTGCTACCAGGTTCGACAAGCTCTGCAAGCACTACTTTCTTTTGTTACCCGATGTGGTGGTGGCGGCCCGGGAGCCGGCCGAGTTCGTCAAGTATTCGATAACGCTGGCGTCTCAGCAAGTGAACTCGAGCCTTTTGGACGTGGACGGTATGGGCTACAGCACCTCTCGCAAGCAGCTGATACTGGAAGACATCCGAGAGCTCCTGGGAAGCTCCATGAACGTTTTGATGCTTTCGCTCGGAAGGGAACTTCGAGGCAACAACAGCTTCGCCGACGTCCGGCATTGGCTCAGTGCTGCGCTCACGTACAACAACGACTGCTACGACTATCTGTCCAGGTTTAGCGACACCGTTTCCAGCCGCATCCGGTACTTGAGCATTCCACTCATCACCAACGCACTCTGGGCACTCGACGCCTTCGAGACCAACAGGGACGATTTCTCGGCCTGGAGGCGTACTCCAGTGGTAGCCAGGAGCCTGAAAGAAATGGAGAGAGAGAGGCGCGATGGAAACAAGCTCATACAGCTCGAGGCAACGGTGGCGAAGGCCGTGGTTTCTCACGACCCCGACTATGGAAGCCACACGTCTATCCAAGCCGCAGTGGACGACGCACCCGACCACCTTAACCGCAGGTACACCATCTACATCACCGCAGGCGTCTACGACGAGATCGTCCGCATTCCCAGCACCAAAACCATGATCGCGTTCGTCGGCGACGGCATCAACAAGACCGTGATCACCGGAAACCTGAGCACCGTGATGGGCATCTCGACGTATCGAACCGCAACTGTAGGTACGCTAGAACTTTTCGCTCGAGTTCTTCGATCGTAGTTTTCATTTTCTCCACGACTAACGAGCGTTTTTTTACAGCCGTGAGTGGCAATGGCTTCCTGATGCGCGATATCACCGTCGTCAACACCGCCGGGCCAGGCGGCCAGGCAGTGGCGATGCGAGTGGACAGCGACATGGCCGCCATCCATCGCTGCTCCTTCTGGGGGTTCCAGGACACGCTCTACACGCACGCGTACCGCCAGTTCTACAGGGACTGCTCCATCTACGGCACCATCGACTTCATCTTCGGCAACGCCGCCAGCGTCTTCCAGAACTGCAACATCCAGATCCGCCCCGGCGCCGCCAACCACACCATGAGCACCATCACCGCGCACGGCCGCACGGACCCGGCACAGGACACGGCCTTTGTGTGCCAGAGCTGCTGGATCTCGGGCACCCCGGAGTACCTCGAGGCCCGCCTGGCGGAGCCCGGCAAGCACCAGGGATTCCTGGGCCGCCCCTGGAAGCCTTACGCTCGCGCCATCTTCATCGAGTCCTACCTGGACGTGGTGATCGATCCCAGCGGCTGGCTGCCGTGGAACGGGACGCTGGGGCTGGACACGGTGGTGCTGGCCGAGTTCCACAACTATGGCCCCGGCGCCAGCCCGATTGGGAGAGTCGGCTGGTCCAAGCAGCTCAACACCATAGCTGCGCTCGAGTATAGCGTGAGGGGCTTGATCCAGGGCGGCTATTGGCTCCCTTTCACCGGGGTTCCCTACAGACTAGTCTTCTAAACTGTTAATCCCGCGGGAAAACAAAGCTGAGAATATTCGAATTTCAAATAATATGCGTTGTTTGCCACGTTGTCTAGGGTTTAGATACACGTAATTGCCACGTCAATGTTTTTTCCACGTCAGCTTGGGCTTGGCCTCTGCCACCCGCTTGGCCAAGTGTCAGCCAGTATCTCCACGTGGCATGGAACATAATGAATATCCGATATTCAAAAATCGTATATGCCGAGTGGGATTCCTAGTGAACCTCGGTTGCTCTCGGAGGCCTCGCCCTGGTCGCTGGCGGCGTTGCCGGCGCATCGCTCTGCTCCTTCCTCGGCCTGCCGCGCCGCCGCTTCTTCGCCGCCACCACCACCTCCTCCGCCGCCGCCTCATGATCCCACCCCCTCTCGCCCACGCTCTTCTGCAAGAAGCCCGCTCCATTGAGCGCCACCAGGCCGAGCGCCACCGTCCGGGCCTTGAGCTTGCGATCCATGGCGTGGAACTCGAACGAATTCTTCCACATCTTTTCCGTGTCCTTTGCCGCTAGTAGCACCATCATCTCGACGCCCAGCCGCGCCAGCATCTCCTCCACCGCGGTGAAGAGGCTGCGGCAAATCCCCTGCCCCTCCATCCCCGCCTTGGTTGCAATGAACGGCATCTCCGCCAGCCACGCCCCGTGGATCCTCAGCACCGCCACCCCGACCACCTCCGCCCCCCTCTGGAGCACCGCCGTGTAGAAGCCGCTGAAGTCGAGCCTCGGCGAGTGGTGGCTGCGGCTAAACACCATCGCATCCAGGTAGTCGAGCTGCGTCCAGCAATCCAGCACCGGATCAAACCGGCTCGAGATCACCTGGAGAGCTTCCGCCAGGAGCTTGTCGTCGCAGCGGCCCCGCCTCAGCAAGCTCCACGAGAGCTCCGATCGCCCCAACGGATTCACCGTCGCCACCATCTCCGCGAGCCTCTGGAAAATGTTCCAGCAGCCAGAGGAGCAGAAGAAAAAGTCCCCGGCCAGGATGGCGTCGTCGCAGCAGCCCGGGTGGAAGCACCGCTCGCACTGCTCGCACGGCTGCGTCCTCAGGGGCTCGCCGCAGTGGCAGCAAAGGCACCGAAAGCAGAACCAGGCGTCCTTGGGAACTTCGAGCAGCGATACGCATTCCATGTGGAAAGTTAACGGGCACGTCTCGCAGCACACGAGCTCGCCACCCTCGTTGCAAATCCCGCAGCATTGATCGCTGTTCGCGGCGGCCTCATAGTCTACGTCGCTTCCGGAGGAGACAGTGGTGAGGCCAGAGTCCTCGTCGCTCTGGCAGTAGCTATCGAACTTTCGCCTGCGAGCCACTGGAAGCCCCTCGCTGTTGAAAAGCTCGGCCTTTGCTTCCAGCGGCGGGAGCATCTTCGAGTAGTCACACGACTCGAAAGGATCGCAGTTGGTCTGGCAAGCAAAGCTTTCCTTTTCTACGCTAGGCGACGTACCAAAGGATTCGTCAAGCTTGGTCCTTTTGCTGCTGGGAAGCTCCTCTTCCTCCTCCTCCTCATTCTCATCGCATCGCTCCATCTCCTCCACACTCGCCATGGGCACCGGTAGTGATTCCAAAGTCTCCATCTTGAAAGCTACATTCTGGCAGTCGGCGATGGAGAGCTGGGCCTCATCGCCCACGAAGATGTTGGCTGCCGGTCGGCGAAGCTTGCTCCCGGTGTGAGCCTCAAAGCCCGAGAGATTGAAGAGCTCATCACAGCAGCTACACACAAGCCCATCGCTGGTTACCATTCCTTCCTTCAGAAGGTGCCGGAATCGCTTCGTCCCACCGATGTAGACCACCTTCTCCTGCTCGGCGATCAAGCCCAGTCCGATAAGCCAGCCAAAAACCGTGCCACTGCTGTGCCTGTGCGCGGCCGCCAAGACGTCCTTCTGTGGCACTCGCGAGAGCTCTTCCAATCGGCAAAACCCCGCGTCTAGGAGAGCGAGGAGCGCCGACCTTGCCGTGGCCTTTTTTCTCCCACTGGTAGAATCACGCGCCCCTTCTTCGTCTTCCATGCCTCCGGAGGAGCCCTAAATTAGCGGTGTGACGTGGCACTTGCGTGCGCGCCAAGAAAGGCCTGTTTGATAATCCACGGAATCTCCCTTTTCGATATGAATCCATTCGCCAAGATCACAAAGATCGCAATCCAGTCGAAATCTCTGCAATCCGATGGAACCCCGTCGAAATCTCTGCAATCCGACTGACAAGATCGAGATGAATGACCTCGCCTCTCGAAATTCGCGACGAGGCCACGCTCCTGGCGCGATCGATCCGCGACTGCCGCCATGCCGAGGACTGCCGCCAGATCCACGCCAAGATCCAGGCCAGCGCTCGCCATCGATCCAGCGTCTACCTTGCGAATCTGCTCGTCAAGACCTACGGCAAATGCGGGAGCGTCGCCGACGCTGCCGCCGCCTTCGCGGCCATTGCCGCGCCAAACATCTTCTCCTGGAACATCCTACTCACCGCCTTTGCCCGCAACGGGCACATCGATCGCGCTAGGGCTTGTTTCGATGCCATGCCCGCCAAGAACACCGTTTCATGGAACAGCATCGTCACCGCCTACGCATCCAACGGCTACCTGGAAGATGCCGAGAATCTCTTTGCCCAGATGCCCTACAAGGACATAGTCTCCTGGAACACCATGCTCGTGGCATATGCCCAGAGTGGGCATCTTCTAGATGCCGAGGATCTCTTTCAGAGAGCGCCACAAAAGGACGTTGTGACGTGGATGACCATGATTCGCGCCTACAGTTATTGTGGCGCGCTTGGAAGGGCTGTCCAAACGTTTGAGCAAATGCCCGAAATGATTGGGTTGAATATTCTTGCGGTAACTGCGCTCGTTGAGGCATATGCCCGCAATGGGCATATGCTTGAGGCGAGATCCCTATACGAAACTGTGGCCGAGTTTGATCTAGTGCTATGGACCATTATGGTGGCTGGGTACGGAGACGCTGGTAACGTACTTCAAGCAAAAGGAATCTTCGACAACATGGAGTATAGGAATGTAGTGGCGTGGACCGCTATGGTGAGAGCATATGCCCAAAATGGGCATCTAGAAAATGCTGTTCTCCTTTTCGATAATATGCCGCATTGGGATGTGGTATCACAGAACTGCATGCTCACGGCGCACGTACAGCATGGCCGGCTGGACGAAGCAAGGAATCTATTCAAGGCCATACCTTATAGGAATCTTTCCACGTGGAACACGATGATACAAATTTATACGCAGTACGGGTATCTAGACGAAGCAAAGACTGTATTTAACAAAATGCCCGAGAGAAGCTTGATTACATGGACGTGTATGCTCTTGGCGTTTGCGCAGTGCAGCCAATTGGAGAATGCCAGGTGGATGTTTGATATAATGCCCAGTAGAGATCTTATAGCATGGAACGCAATAGTAACCGTCTATGCCCGGCAAGGGTATGTGGAAGATTCGCGAGATCTATTTGATAGAATGCCTCACTACGATTCCGTGGCATGTGTTGCCATGATCGGCGCATATTCCTTGGACAGGAATCTCGCTGAAGGAAAACATGTGTTCGATGCCATGAGCTACAAAGACATAAGAGCCTGGAGTGCCATTGTCGCAGCATATTCCCAGAACGGGCATCTTTCCTACTCGAAGAAACTCTTTGACGAGATCCCTGAACCAAATGTTTATTCGTGGACGACGCTTTTGCAAGGATATGCCGAGAATGGTTGCGAGGAGGTTGCGATTGAGCTGTTCCAGGAGATGGATCTCAGTGGTGTGGAGCCGGACGAGGTAACTTTCCTCGGCCTTCTCACAGCGCTCTGTCAAGTCGGGAAGCTAGAGGATTGCTTGATCCAGTTTGCATCGATGAGCGAGCGAGGATTGAGACCAAGCTCGGAGCACTACTGTTGCATGGTCGACGCTCTCGGGCGGTCTGGACAAGTTGGAGAAGCCGAGAGAATCATAAACTTATTGAAAAGATCACCCGATAGTGGAGCTGTTGAAGGTCGTGACGCAGCCTGGTTTACTTTGCTTGGAGCCTGTAGAAGCCAAGGGGACGTTCATCTCGGGGCCCGTGCTGCCGCAAACGCGACGTCTTATAAGAACCACCAGAAGCTTTACAGGCTTCTCCACAACCTCTATGCGGGATCTTAGAAACACCAAAAGGATTAATTGATCAATCGAGTTTGGCAATATCTCGAAAAAGATATGCCCTCCAGAAAACTTAGCTGGAAGTAGTACCTCAATTGGAAGCAACCGCAGACTTGAGAAGATCAAGCGACGAGGATACCAAGTCTTGGAGCTGGCTGCGAGAGTACATTGGCGTCGTGTAAACGAAGGTGAGAGAGAGCTCGGGACCATCAAGTAGAGCCTCGGCTACAGAGAAGCAAGGTCCAACGTAGTGCATGGACGCCAGCGGCCCAATCGTTCCAGCAAGCTTGAGGTTCTTCACGTTCCCCCAGCTACACTTTGTTGGTCCGTCCACAAACACGGTGAAGAGTGCTGTCCTCATGGACGAGCTGGGTGTAACGCTCGGATGCTTGATCACCTGTAAGAATAAGAACAGAGTCTTATACGACAGCCCAAAAACCAGCACAAGTACCTGGGATAGAAGCATATTAAGCACGGAGAGCTCGGAGAAATGGCGGCTCTTTGCCAAGTTCTTCTCGGTGGAAGACGATATCTGCCTTGCAAGATCCCAGAATGGAACGCTTTCCTTGACTTGCTCGTCGTGAGGCAATCCGGCCGAGTAGTTCCCCACAACGCTGGCGTCCAGCGGAGGCTCAAAGTATCCACGGCAATCCAGCACACTTCACAAAGAAAAAAAATAAAATTCCTCACTCACTATAGAAACCAAGCGTCGAGAGAGTTACTTTGTAAAGGAGAATGTGTCTTGCTTCTTTTCTTTCGTGACGCTGGCGGCGATCTTGAGGAATGCCGCCGAGAGCGCCGCTGCGATCGTCGTGCTCTCACGCTTGCAAGCCGCAAAGAAATCCTCGGTACCTTCAAGAAATTCATCCAAGATCTGGCACGAGAAGCTTTGAATCGAGCAATGTACCTGGTTTGCCGAGGCTGTAGCTCAGGATCTCGGATCTAAACGGCGTCGCGTGTGGCTGCTTCGTGAATCCTGGCTGGAACGGCAGTAGCGCGCTCTTGGAGGAGTTGAGCGCGTATCCCACAGCATCGATCCCTTTCTTGAAGAAACCCTTGGACGCCTTGGATTTGGGAACCAGATCTTCCATGCACGGCAGCAATCCATCGCGATCCTGCCGCTGCTGCTCCTGGCGCTCGCATTCTACCCCTGCCTCCACGCATCGATCGAGCGCCGCCACGAATTCCTGCGCGGCGGTGGAGGAAGAATATCTGTCGCAAGCCCCGCTGTGAAACCTAAGAACGATGATCGAGGAGCCGCTGGAAGCCTCCTCGTAGACGTGGATTTGGAAGATATCCACGGTGTGATCGAGCTCCTTGTGCTCCTTGTGGAAGGGAAGATTTAGCTCGTTTGTGACCACCGCCTGCAGCGCGCTCTTGACGAGCGCTTCTTCGTCGCCATCGCAAGAACCTAGGGTTCCTTCTTCTGGCCACGGCAGTGATTCCACCACTGGTGCGAAAGAATCGACGCTCCGGACCTCGAATGCCAACTTCTTGGAGGAAGATTTCGCGTCGGGGACGAGCTGCGCTCGCAGCATTGAGTGATTCTCACATACCGCTTTGGCAGCCAGGAGAATGCTCGGCGTCTGGACGATCTGGCGCAGCGCCATGCCGAAAATCCCAATCCCAGTGCCGCCGGCTGTGCATCGCGTCCAATTCTCCTCGGACGATCCCAGCTCCCTCTTCATCACTGTCGCCGCGGCCGCCATTGGAGCTGGATTTCTTCCCTCCGGGGTGGAAGAATTTTCGACCGAATGTGGAGATATGGAGAACAGCTGGGAAGAACAAAAATGTTCTTGCCAATGGACAAGAATATCCGTCGTAGAAATACGATACGAACGGAAAGAAAGAAAAAAGCTGTGATGGTTTGGTGACCAAATTGACCCCTCCTATTATTTCTTGTTGGCCGCAAATGCCGCGTGAAGGCATTCTATCTTCACCAAACCCAATGTCAGCTTTTTTAGGGCTCTTATTGCCATTTTGGCGGGAGCCTTTTGAAAATTTTAGGTTCGCGCGAGCTCGGCTATGGAGGACGAGGCGGCGTCCAGCCCGCCAAGGGGCGACGACGCCGAGAAGAAGGCGACGAGGAAGAATGCCGCGGCGCCAGTGCTGGTGTATGCGCCCTGGTCACAGGGCGCGCGCAAGCAGGATGAGGAGATCCAGAAGAAGCTGGAGACGACGGACGAGCGGAGGTTAGCTTCCATTGTTTCGGGGATTGGAGCGTTCGAGACGAGCGGCAGCGACGATTGGCACCAAGGATCGGAGGTTTTCGTCAAGGGATCTCACTGCTTAGGTATGGATTTCATGGCTGGAGGAGTTTATGCTTATTTTGCTCGTTCACTCCCACAGAAAAACTGAGGGAGCTTCAGCGGTGCTTGACGAGAGACAATCCGGATAGCAGGCGTGTGTTTATGCAGCTTGGGCAATGGAATGTCGCGGGGAAGTACTTGGTACCGATCATACAGCACTATTCGGAAGATCGTCATCTCTTTCTTGCATCGTGTTAGTCCCATTCCTGTCGTGTTTTTCGTTCTTCATGGCTTACATTTTTCATTTTTTCTTTTTTCCAGTGAAGGTGTCGATTCTCCTCACTCTTCCCATCGATCAAAACTCCACCAACACGTTCGACCAAGTAGAGTACCTGTGCCAAATCAAAGAAGAGTTTCGC